TAGCAGGGATGACCACCTGTATCCTTAAGGTTTTAAGCTGTTATTCAAGACTTTGTAATCACTGATCATAGAGAGACTTAGCAATGCTTTCTAGATGACTTCTAACTATATCATTTATTTGTTTTTCCAATCACCAGAAATAGGTAGCAGTTAACAGATTTGACAAGTGTTAGATGTTTCTCTGTCATGATTTGAATGGGAAAGACAACAAACTATTTTTTATATTATCAGGTGACAAATAGCTGCTTGAGTCCCCTTCAACATGTGATTACTAACCAAAACTACTTGTCACTTCTTCTCCTAACCCTCATTAGGTTAGCAGACAGCACCTATGGATTCCAATCATCATTCCTCAGAGTACAAGGGACTGCTTCCTCCTCAGAGGGTATGGTTCCCTGCTCCTAGGAAAGCCTCATATTTGATTATTAGCATCAAACATCCAGTGGACCTTCATCCCTTTCCTCTCTCTATGGCCTTCTTTTACTAACACAGGACAAGGTTTCCTTCTTCCTCTTTAGATCCTTTTTTTTTCATCTTTGTTTTCAAAATCTTCTGTTTTTTTTTTTAAAGAAGACTTCTTTGTTCTCCAAAACCTCAAGGTTGAAGATGGGTTCCCCTTACCCCTTAAACTCTTCTTCTAAGAGGGGAACCAGATTGCCCTTTGAGTAGAGACAGCAGTAATTTGGCCATGGGAGAAATGTCAACATCACCCATTCTATGCAGATAATTGAAACCCCAGCCCCCATGCTCTCCATGCTTGCTTGAAGGAAGATCTTTAGTCCTTGTACTTCCTGCTAGTAGCTCCCCTGGAGAAGGGTCTAGAAAACTGTGGCCATCTCTGCCTTGGAGTTGTCACTCTCCTCCATGGTGCTAGTACCTTGTTAGCACCTTCCCAGCCACTCTGCACTTCCATTTGTTTTGTAAACTCTTAGCCTGTTTCCAAAGTGTCTTATCATCTTCCTCTCCTTGACTCTCATTCTCCTCCTTTTCCTCTTCTTTGAGTCCTTCTTCTGGTCCTCCTTCAGGGTGTCTTTCTCTTTTTGTTGTAGGTACTTCTCTAGTCCTCTTTCTCCTTGAAATGTTGTTTTGCTCTAGTTCTCTTAAGCATCAGTACTCCTCTTTCTCCTCTGATCCTTCCCCTCTTCCCCCTTAAAATGCTCCTCCAGTCCTCTCAAATTCAATTTCTGACCTTCTTCCTAATTCCAATGCCATCCAAATAAATGGCACAGTTTCTTCTTCTTCTACAGTCCCAGGCCTTCTGCTCCATCTCCTATGAAGGCTGGAAGCGGAAAGCTGGTCATCTCAGCTCTGCTCCTGCTGGGACCTCTTAAACCATGCCATTTGGTCCAGGTGGCCACCTATTCTGACCATAAGGAAGGCTGCACCCTTTCACCCTGTGCTTGCACAACTACTCGTTTCAGAGTTTTGCTTCATGCTCCACTGGAAAAGGACCACCAGAACCCTGCAAGCCAATCTAGTGCTCTATTGCCTATGTGACAGCTAATTAATATCATAATCCATGCCAATGGATTAGCATCATTTGGTTCCCTTTGGCGTTCAAATTCCCCACCATTTCCAACTTCAACTACCTTTTCAAGGCTGAAAAGTGAAGAGAATGGTCTCTTCACAGAATAGTTACTCAAAAAAAGTTGGTTATGGTGACAAAGATGATACCCACGTGGCTGGAGAAGAAATGGAACAACATTTTACAATTCTTTCTGAAAATGTACTAATAGTGCCTCCTGGCCCCCAAACTTAAAATCTCTTCTGAATCTTCACAACACGCTTGTGGATTAGAAGGAAATACTTATTATAATGTTTATTCACACTTAACTTATATAAGGTTGCAACAACTTTTACAACTGATGGCAAGGCTACCTGATTTTCAATCTTGTCATTTGTATAGACGACATTGCTTCTCAAATGTTTGATTTTTCAGAGAATGTTAACTTGAAAATACTGCAGTATACGTTGGGAAGGGGTGAGGATAGCAAAGCAGTGATGAGTCCAATTTTATTATCCTTATTTTTGTTTATATTTTCTTTGTCACTGTGGCCACATATTACAAATGTTAAGCTCCAGTACATTATCATGGCCAAATTGTGGTTATCAGCATGGAATAGGAATATAAACATACAGATTTATATTAAGAAATCTTTCTTGTCTGACAGATGAATGTTGGAACATTTTGTAACCAAAACACTAGTTTCTATGAATATTCTAGAGATGTCAGCAATTACTACTACTAAATTATTTCTCCTTCTAGCAAATCTTCTCCTACAATTAGCTAAATGAATAATGCAGTTTTTCTTCATACCTGAGCTACTCCTAGAACAGGGTCCTAAGGCTGACTGGTTAAAATTGTGATATAATCCACTAATACAAACTCTACTGTGCCTATCTGAGAAGAATCAGGTATTCATTTCAGTTAACAGATTTCCCCCCCAAGAATTGCAAAGCCTAGAAACAGGATTACTCTAGAAAGAAAAAAACAGGAGAGTGTCTGCTTTCTACTTCATGTCCATCCATCAGAAGAGTGTCACAGTTATTTCTGATGCAGGGAAGAGAAGATGCAGTTGCATTGGAAACCCCTGAGGAATGTGTACAGAGACATGCACATATCCCTCAGGATTTCAGATGTTTTTATTAGTTTCTTAAGGTGTATACAATCTTTAAGAGTCAATGTGAATTTCCCATCGATATTTTGCTCTTAGAACTAGGATGGAACAGTAAGAGAAAAAGCAAGAGGGAAGAAACAAAAGAAAAAGTAGTTAGGAAGAAAGAACAGATGAAAACTAGAAAGGGAAATAAGTTTGCAAGGCAAAGGATCTAACAGATTTTTAAATGTTAAAACACATATATTTTTTAAAAAAAAGAGGCAACATGGTGCAATGAGCAGAAGGCTGGCCTTGGAGTCAGGAAGAAAGAGTTCAAGTGTGACCTCTGATACATTTTGGTCTATGACCAAAGGCAAAATTTTTAACCTCTCAGCATCTTAGCAGCTTTCTAAAACTATACCTTAGGGAAGATCTGCTGAGCTCTATTGGTGCAGGGAGTTTTCACCCTGAGGGCCCCCATAAAGAGAAATCACAGATATGGACCAAAATGGGAAAATATCTCTTCTTATAAATATCTCTTCAAGAGGGAATAAGGTCAATGGGAACTCCCCAACTTTGCCTCATCTATATTAAAGCTAAAAGCTATGGCTTTTCACTCTACACAAATAAAGTCAAGCACTTTTCATGACATTTAAAATAACTTAAGCAAATACATAAGAGCTAATATGATGTGGTGAAGAAACACTGGCCCTGGCCCTGGGTTCAACTCTGCTTCTGACACATACCAGCTTTGTAACCCTGAGAAGGTCATTTAATTTCTCAGGGCCCAACTCTAACATTGTAAATTGCAGAACAGCTACAGATCTGCATTGGAAGAAGTTTCTTCACCAAGAGTTTCTCCAAACCAATGAAATGATAAGAATCCCAAAACAAAGGATGGCCATAAAACTTATTCTTGGATGAAAATCAGGTAGTTGGAAAAGACTCAATCGTAATTCAAGGCAACATATGATATAATATGGTACCATTTCGTTTTCAAAGAGGGCTTCAGTAGCACCCAGCTTACAAACAGATGAAAACTCAACTTAGACCTAACCAAAGATGTCTAGTGGACAGAGATACTTCTTGGCAAAATTATGAGGTAGGCAAATTTTTCCTCTCAGACTCCCTGTCTTTCTCCCTCATTTCACTCCATACTCATCATCTAGCATTTCCATACTTCCTCCTCCCTGTTTCTCTATCAAAACCTAGGAAAGGTTTTGATAAATTCATCCACATTGAAGTGTAAAAAAACTGATAGGGCTTAAGTGGCTATCTCTCACATGAATACAGGCATTTCAGTATGGAATAAGCCCCAAAGTAAAAGTATCAGTCTCACATTTTGGCACTTCAGGAATTAACAAGTCAGTAAAGATTTCTTGAGGAAAAGAGGGGAGAGAAATCTACCTTCTCTATGTACCTAAAATCAGGTCATGGAGGGAGCCATCCACTCGTAAGATGTGAGCCTTTTAGACTTCTGTCGATTGAATACACTTTTGAGAAAAAAAAAAAACACCTATCAAATCATTCTAGACAAAGCCAGGACACCTCAACCAATCTATGTATCATTTCGTAGTCAGGGCGTTAAGTAGTACTTGAATAAGTTTTGATGGAAAAAGAAAATAGGCCACAAGACAAATAGATGGAATCATTTCCTGTGAATTGTTGAGACTCAATTGCTACCCAAGCTTTGAAGTGATTATTCAGTTGATGAAGATAGAAAATGCAGCCCTAAGGTTTCCCCAATGCTTGGATCTGTGGAAATAGGTGGAAGGCTCCAATATTCTTTTGATGTGATAAAACAAAATAAAACAAACACTTTCTACAAAGGCATGGTTGTGAAAATGGGGTTCTCTATGACTATATTGGAGCAAACCATTTCAAAGATCTCTGTACTATAATGTGTTTTAAGGCTTTGTTGAGTTAAATGACTATTTTATTTTTTTTTTTCTTTCAGGGAACCAGCCACAGGCCCTGCTGAAAGTTTCAAACACAGAACTCATTTCTCTGTGGCAGAGTACCCTAAATCAGCAAGTGTAATCACGGAACTTTGCTTTCAGAATATTCTGTAATGAGAAATGGGCCTTGCTCCTATGTTTCCTATTCATCATATTAGCCACCTTCCTCACTGGGTTACTGGTTTATTTGATCCACTATCTGCAGTGCAGTCTGCTGTGACCAATGTTATTTGATTCTGTGGTCTTGTTTCATCCAATAGTCTTCACATTCCACAAAGGGAAAAACCAAAATATTCCCTGAACATTCACCACTTCTGGGCCTTACATTTCTACATGGTCCTAAAGGAAACATAAGCTCTTTGGCACAGTAGATTGTAAAAGAGAAGTGTAAGTATTCCTACAGGTATGAGCCCTAGAAACCAAAACATTAGGCTAAGTCACTTACCACATGCAAAATCTTGACTTCTTCTTCACACTTTGAAGAGTCCTACACAGGGAGAAGGGAGGAGAGAAGCACAATTTTATTGCACCCTAGTTGTCATTAGTCAAAAATGCAGAGGAAAAAGTAAATGCTGAAGGAAAGGAAGAAGGTTTTAAGTGAGTAAAATGTTTTAAAGTGATATGTGCTCTTCTGAATTTAATGAACTAGTACCTGGTTGATTTACATTTATTATTAGAGACAGTAAATAATGAGAATTCGAGCCACTTGTTTACCATGCTTGTGTAGGGTCTGACCACATCACCCTCCTCCATCTCCTCAATGAACTCCAATGGCTTTGTATTAACATCATGATCAAACACAAAGCCTTCCAGTTGGTAGTTCAGACTCTTTACAGCCTGGCTAGTTCCTACCTTTCCGGTCTTTTCTTCCCCTCTGTTCACTCTACTTTCCAGCTACACCAGCCTACTCATGAATGTTCCCTGCATCAGAATAGACATGTTTGTACAGAAATTTATTTTTACCCAATACAAATCATAGTTTTGCACATGATTTCGGAAATCGAAGGCACTGGTTTCTAACAGAGTTGTAACTAAACATAGTCTGAGCATAAACTTTCATATTTTCAATGTTAAAAATGATAAATTCTTTATATATGGGAATATACACTTATTAAACATACATAACATGTACATATCTCATCTGTAGATCTTTACAAGGCAGCAACAATCCATAGGTTCTTATTAGAGAAGAATGACTGATTTTTAGATTTTTTTTTTTTGGTTAGGATAGATATCCTGGCTCTAAGAATCTAAACTCATTAAGAATCGCTAAAGAGGGAAAAATCTAGCACCAGAATATGTTAAATAGCAGTAACTTTGAAATCTGCTAATACAGGAATTAAGATTCTTCTAGAATCTTTCATTAGGGGCATAATAACATGGAAGACAGAAGTAAATAATTTGGTTATTACCTGGTGGGACACAGTCAGGAATATAAATTCACTCCACAATACCTCAGCCAGGATATCATGTAAGATGTCTAAACAAACAAGTTAAGCTTCCAGATTTGAGTAAAAAATGCAAGATGCAAGGCAAAAACCAGAACATGTATTTTATTTACAATTATTATTAATTTGCTCAATGGCATGCACTGAAACCCATCAGCAGAGTGATTGTCCCTAGAGCCCAGTATGGAACATTAATAAGTATTCATTTTATGTTCTTTGTATATGAAAGAGTTGGCTAATTGGGACATTTAATTAAAGGACATTGTTACATATGCATTTTTTATCATTTCATAGTCCTAGTCTTTAAACTAGTTTTGCTACAGGCAAATATAAACTGTGGCTAGGACAGTGGGTGAAAACTTGGTTAGTTCAGAGAAAGAGAGGGCAGGCAGAGCAAAGTTCTTGAGATAAGGCTAACACTGAGTGAAGTTGAGAAGGAAGTGAGGTCTGCTTTTATGTCCCTATATTCCTCTCCCCCTCAGGGACAAATTCTCTTCAGGAACCAATTGTAAATACTGTATGATAGCCCCCAAACAACTTTGCTCTTAAAGGGGAAAAATCACCACTCATGCCTTAGTGTGGATGTAGATAAGTCTCTATAATCCCTCGCCAAGGGGAGCTCTGCTTAGAGCCTAATCTCTCCTCCCTACTAATATCTAGACCTGGGATTCTGCCACAAGCCCCTCTGCCAATCTGGTGAAGTCTGTGGACCCCTTTTCAGATGTTTTCAATCCATAACAGAAATTTTTGTTGTGGGTTCATTTTAGTTGTGTCTAACTCTTTGTGACCTCATTTTGGGCTATTCTTGTCTGTGACCCCAGAAATTTTACCACCTACCTACACATGGTTGTTGTTGTTGTTCAGCCATTTCAGTTTGTGTCTGATTCTTTAGGATCCCATTTTGGGATTTTCTTGGCAAACATACTGGAGCAGTTTGCCATTTCCTTCTCCAGGTCATTTTACAGATGAGGAAACTGAGGCAAATGGAGTTAAATGACTTGCCCAGGGTCACACTGCTAGTAAGCGTCTGAGGCTGGATTGGAATTCGTGAAGAAGATGAGTCTTCCTGACACCAAGCCCAGTGCTCTATCCACTTTGCCACTTAGCTGCCCAGCTACACGTGGAGTTAGTAACAATTTACTGGATTTGAAGTCAGCAGACCTGGGTTCAAATTCCAGCTCCATTACTATTTACTAGATGTGTGACCACAGAGAAGGTGACTTAACATCTCTGGGCCCTGATTTCCTCATCTATAAAATGAAATAGCCTCCAAATGGTCCCTTTCCTAGATGGCCTCCAAAGTCCCTCCTAGTTCTACATCACCAATCCTACAAAGAGCCAAGGCTTCCTCTGTGAGGTGCGCGGGTGGTGGGCCAATCTCCTTTTCTATACCATTTCCCAATGATTCCAGCTTGGCCCATAGCTATTCTAGAGGACCATGCATTACCTAAGATACATCAGTGAGGAGGGCCACTTGTCAGCAGAGGTGGCAAGAGAGAGGAATTGGTAATATTGTTAAACAGTATAGTAGTAATTATAACGATAATAAAATCCATTTTAGAAATCAATTCAGAAGGTCCTGCATTTAGACACTTGCCAAATCTCACCAAATCTCTATGGGAATGACATGTCATCATGATCATCATCATTATCATGATCGCTAGTTTTTACATAATGCCTCCTATGTACCAGGCCCTGTGCTAAGTGCGTAATAAATATTAGGTCAATTTTATGTCATCATAGCAAATGGGGGAGTCAGGACAAATTTCAAGGTGCTCATTGGGAAAAAGAGTCCAAGCAAGAGAGGATTCCTTTTGAGTTGGACGTAGTTCACTTTGTAGCATCAGATCCCAATGCACCATTGCACTAAGCAGAGTAACTCCAAATTGCCTCATCTGCCACAGTAGTTTAGCCTTCATTCTTCATTTCACCTGCTTTAGGGCAAATGTTAACTGTGGTGACCAGGTGCTACGTGCATTACTCAGTCTCTTTGAAAGGCGAAATGTCAGCATCAGAAAACAAACAGGCAGAAGTTGATCACGTCCAGGTCCTTGAAGGCAAGGGATTGTTTTTGCTTTTACTTTTCATCCCCAGCAATGATCAGTGCCAGGCACACAACAAGCCCTTAATAAACACCTGCTTTCCCAACCCCTCTTAATTCTTGTACATTCCCTCTCTTATTTTCTGTAATATATCATCCTGTACATAGCTTATTTGTACATATTTGTTTTCTTACAGTCTCCCCCATTAGATTGTCAGCTCATTGAGGGCAGGGACTGTCTTTTTCCTCCTTTTGTATCCCCAGCACTTAGCACAGTGCCTGGCACATAGCAGGTGCCTAATAAATGTTTACTTACTGATCAACTGTGCGCAGAGAACTGGTTATAGCCATCCAGGTAGAGAATGACAAGAGAATTCCTGTCTGGAAAGTGACCATTACTCTACACTCATCTATTCTGGAATGCCATTGGCAATTTGCCATAAAGCTAGGAGGCCGAGAATGGAAGGCGATAGCAAATGGTGAAGGTATGCGCTGTAGTGTGAATCCTCTCCAATTTGACTGATGTTGCGCGCTAGTGGCCTCTATGCCCTATCTTTTTTCAGGGCATTTTCATATCCATTCTTTGTGAGGTAGATAGGGCAGGTATTCTTATCTATCCCCATTTGAAAGATGAGAAAAAAGAGATACAATTTAAGTGGCTTGCCCACAGTGATACTTACAAGAAGACTAAACATAACCTCCAATAAGGAAGATTCCCAGGATTTCTCCAGGGTTTAGCTGACTTGCTGATATTTCAAGGCATTTAATATCTCCCACCCTTTAACATTGTACCACTGAGTGTGCATATATGGTTCAATTGAACAAACATTTGTTTTATGCCTACTATGTGTGAATCACTAAGGGGAATACATGATCAACTTTTTTTTTTAAGAGCCAGAATGGACCCTAGTGGTTTTTCTAATCTAGTTTCTCCCCACCCATTCCTGCCCTGCTCATTTTATATTTGAGGAAACTGAGGCCAGTTAGCTTCATCCAGTAACATCTGGACTCAAATCCAGGATTACTGACCACTAAGGCAGTGCTCTTTCCACTTGACTTCTTTTCTTTTGATTTGCTCAACAGAAGTCATCATTCTCTCGTAGACTATATGTGCTCCTTTAGCTCTTGTCCTGAGACAACACTTATAACACAATACTTATGAGAAAATTTACCCTTTCCTTTCCCCAGGATAATTATAACAATTTTTCTTTGGCCATTTTTAGGTATTAAATTAAGAACCAGCACTGAACTTAATCTAGAAGGTTACTGTCTCCACCAATTAACCTTTATCACGTGCCACCCTAATCACACGCAGACCTTTCCCCTTAACTAGAACACATTAGGCTATACTTACATTCTCTTGAGCCCAGGAACCCTCCTTATTATTTCAGGAAAATATGGGCATTCCCATCTCTGAACTTTCACACAGGTTCCCCACGTGCTTCCTTCCCTACATATCTACTCGAAATTCAGCTCCAAGAGGAAGACTATGTGGGAATCACTAAGGGGAATACATGATCAACTTTTTTTTTAAGAGCCAGAAGGGACCCTAGTGCTATCAATCACCCCCAAGCACTTTGATTTTGCATTTGATTACATATTTATATTGTAGGAGTTAATCCATATATTTAGTATGTCTGTCCTGTCTACCCAATTGGAATGTAAGCCCATGAAGTCTAGGACCATGTTTATTTCCCACATATCCTCCCCCCAGTGCCCGGAATAGTACTCTGTACTCAGATGGTTTTCAATAACTATTGATACCTGTGTGCTCTCTTGAAAATAAGCCCTGACTTCTTAATCAAACAAGGGACAGAGGCAATCACAAAAGACATAATTTCAATTACATAAATCTGAAAAGCTTTTATAAAAACAAAATCAATACAACTTGGATTAGAAAGGAAGCTGTTGACTAGGAAAAAATTTTACATCAAAGATAACTGATAAGGGTTTGATATCCAAAATATATAGACAACTGATACAAATACATAAGCCCAA